AGTATGACTTCGTCTGTCACGCTGTACTGATGTGTTCGCAGCTATGGCTTGCGACGTTTCTTCGTTCTGCGCTACCGTTCTCACTTTCCGTTTTGACGCACAGAATATCTTTACGTGTGCATGATGTGGTTAGGGCACGATGTCAGCGACTTAATTTTCAAAAGTTTATTAAGTTTTTTGTGTAAATAAAATATGTAATATAATATATTATATAGAATGATATAGAAAATCTTATGTTAATTGTATAAAGGTTTTGCATGAACATATTGAATTTAAAATGTTATGGAAAGTTTAATGCTATTTGCATAAAGATCTTGCATGAAATATTTTAAGCTAATTATATAATAAAAATTGTAAAATAAACAGCTACTCTCTTATTTCGAGAATTATATGTATCAAAATAAAGCGCATTGATACAAAATTTAAAATAATGTACTTATATTCTATAGCTTTTCTTTCATTTAATTTTTTTATTGTACACATACATACGCAAAGTATTTATCTGTAATATATCGTAAAAACTTGTTTCTTACACAGTTATTTCAATTTTTCGTAAGTTTTTGTAAACTGTGATATATTTTTAATATACGTATTATAAGTTATACAACCATAACATGCACTGTTGACCTGAAGTTTGCTTATATGCATCAATATTGGAAAATTCTAATTACTTGAATCTCTTGAAACTATTATACTCAAATAAAAAATTATTATAATCAGCTCATTAAAAAAATTTTTTAAAGCTATAATGCACAATGTAAAGTATAATTGAAACTTAAAACATTTACGAACCATTTGTTATGGTTCAAACAGAAATTTTACTAATTTCATCAATACGTTTATTATTTTGATTTTATTATAATAAAATAAACATATGCATAATGAGAATATTTACAGTTACATTACAGTTGCATTACTTTCTTATTTAATTATAAACAGGAATATTACTAATTCATATTAATAGAAACTTATAATGGAAATAATATAACTTTTGTTATATTATTAAGTGTTAAACAGAAATTATTAATTTCAATAAGATCTTGTTTTCTAATGCAAACTCAATAGATTTTACATGCTAAGCGCTTATAAAGATACTTAAAAATATCTATCATTATATGTTGAAATTTACAGAATCTTAGTAATTATGGAATATATTGAGATTTGTATTCTTTTTAATTTTAGTAGTTCTGTTGATTAAAGATATCGCTTGTGCTTATCCACTCAAAATAAAATCACTAAAACCAAAAAATTGGATGCAACAGTGATCAACCTGTAAAATAATCTATCTTTAAGCAAACACCTTTTTGTAAAAATAATGTATCTTTTTATAATTAATTTTTTAATCTAATTTCTAAATTTTTAATCTATTTCTAAAATTTGAGACAATTTTAGTTGTATGATATATTGATCATCATAGTAAACGTAGTAAACATAATATACATTAAATTTATATGGTTAAACTTTGAAAAAATAGAGAAAGAAAAAAGTTCTAAAAATATATTAGAAATAAGAGAGAAACTCTTACCATATTTAATGTTTATGATTTTGCATTCATATTATTTGTTACTAGAGCATCAAGAAGTGAAACCTTCGTATCCCCTATATCTATATCTGAAGTATAGAGATTGTTCATCTGTAATTCTGGTGGATTTGATAAAGATGTATTTCCCAAGAGCATCTCCTCATCAAAATCAAATAGGTTGCAGGTTGAGGGATTATATGCCATAAGTGAACCCGTAGATTCATTGACAGAATCTGGAACTGTATATAATTAAAATTATTAATTATCTTTTAATTTATTTCATTAATTTTATATAATTAAAGCATTAGTTTCATAATAACATTTATAATGGAATAAACAAATATAAAAAATTATCTTTTTCCTCTATGTATATTTAATAAATTAAATATTTAAAAACGTATATATGTATATACATATATAAAAGAAATATGTGTATATTAAATATAGTATATATAAATTTCTTTAGAGCTTATTTTGTCATATTTGCAAGCTTTTTTCCAAATTGGCTCAATGGAAAATTTATAAATTATGTAAAAACTTACTTATATGATCATCATCCTCTTTCCCACAATCTAGATTCAATTCTGGATTAGTTGATAATCCAAACCCCGTTGGATCCTGTGCACTCAACAACTATGAAAAGAGAAAAAATATCAATATTAAAATTTTTAATAAATGTACTTTTCTCTATAAACAATTTTTTATTATTCTTGCAAAAAATTTTCTTTCTTTTTCTAATATGCAAAAAATTTTTTAATATTATATTTACCTCAAGAAGAGTATTAGCATCAATGCTGCAAGTTTTTTCATTACGCAACATATCACTCAAGTCACTGTGTATCTGTTTCAGATTATTCTGTGTATGTTCCACATGATTGTACATTTCTTCCCTATACATAAATTATTAATGAAAAATTTAAATATATCTATTTATTACTTAAATAAAAAACATTAGATACAAAACATAAGTAAAACGTTAGATGTAAAGCAGTGCTTCCATTAGATAAAAACCTGGAAAATAATTGTTCATACAATAAGATACAAGTAATATAAGATTCACAAAAAAAGAGAAATGTGATATTCTTTATATTTTATCGTATTCATAAATATTGTAGAGATTAATGAGTATTGTATACAACATAAATAACTGTTCTAAAAAGAAAACAATCTAAAAATTAGATTATTATAAATTAATCATGTTAAAACTGGATTATTATAATGAAACTGTGGAAAAGGAATATAAAATAGATTTATCTATATTATAAAAAAGTTTGTATCTATAAAATATAAAAAAATACCCCTCTTTTTCATTAATAATTTCCACTATAAAATTAAGCGGAAATTATTGTTAGTAAATACTTATATTACGTATGGTCTATAATGGACTTACATCGATTCTTCTAACCTGTAATTATCATCAGTTTTTCCAGAAGGATTTACACGGCTCACCGATAAATCTCTTGATGAACTCGGGCTTGCCCTATCATAACTGTTATTCTCTGTTTGTGGCGATTTTATCACTCTATTTTCATTGCATTGCTCATTGTTACTTGTCACTAAAACACTTCTTCCGCCACCTATTTGATTGAGTCTCTCATTTACTTTATTAGAATTGCTGTTATCGTCTTCTGTACTCCCAATATAATTTTGAATATTACTATCATCGAGTATTTCCGGGACAATTAGGATATCATCTAGCTTCATCGACGCATCGTTGGCTAAAGCTTCCATATTATGCTCCAGTTCAACGGGATTATCCATATCAGTGTCATTGTCAGCTTCTGGAGATTTAATGTTCGCTGCCATCGCTGCGAGTTTAGAGCTGCGCATAGTCGCCATAGGTATCGGTTTAGAACCAATAGACTCATTTTTCACATAAGTTACAGGCTCGTCTTCGTCGGATATTTCAAGCATATGCACTTCTTCTCTGTAAACAAATATAAATTGATACCAACCATTATTTTCATTTTACAACGCTCACGATCAGCCTTAAATTCTCTTTGTCTATACAAATTATTACATACTTAAATACATTCTTATATTTCAACAGAATAGTGAAAATATGAGAAAAATAGTATGTTCCAAAGCAACATAAGAGGTAAGAAATTCATGCAATCTATTACATCAGTCAACAATAGATTATTGTAGTACTATAGCTATCAAATAAAGATATCAATATTATACAGAAATATACAAATAACAAATTTTTTCTTATAACAGAAAAACGTTATGTCTCTTTTTACCTTATTTTTCTCTTTCAAAACAATATATTTTCTATAGATATATAAAAGAAAATTTCCAGCAAGCAACACAAAACCATACAAGTGTCGTTTTGTCTTTGTTATTCACTGTCAAAAAAGAAAGATAGAACAACGTTTGTATCAACTTGTGTCGCTTGTTAGAAAGCTCCTAAAGAGTATAATTTCATCAAGCAGGAACATTCAAGAAGAAAGATCAATAGTGTAACTTGATAGTAAATTATCTATTATCTATTACAGACTTCATTCATTTCAGATTTACTTTACTTTATTGATCTGTACTATAAATTACCCATCATAGATAATTTACCATTATCTATTACATAATATATAAATATATAAAATATATTATAGATATTGGTTATTATAGATAGTGGTAGATACATTAAAGAAAAAAAAAATCATAAACACAAATAAATGTGTCTAATTTAATTCGAAATGGTTTATAAGTACTATATATAATGTGCAAATCTAATTAATATTTCATTAAAATTACATAAATTGAGAAATAAAAATTCATATTGAACATCTTACAAGTAGCATAGTAAAAATATATGAATATCCAGCTACAAAGTGAAAGAAGCAATCAAGCAGAGACAACAAACGCTTATTAAAGATTT